AGTGTCCACAGTTTCTCCCGACACAAGTACATCATCAGTATAGTTAGAATAAGACAAGTTCAGGTAAGAATCTAGGCCAGCTTCATGGGGTCCAAGGTCAGTGGATGTCTTTGATGACAGTGCTCAACGTGCTATCTCTTGGGTCATACTGCTCCAATTTGGGCTGGTTGTTTGCCTAAGTACAGGGCTCTAAGTTGGAAGTAATTTTCCTTTGGAATTTTATAGACATTGCTTTGTTGACTTCCTGCTTCAGTGTTGCTGACGTCATTTTGATTCATGATCCTTTGGATATGACCCATGTTTTTTTCTTCTGATTTCTCTAGATATGTATTGCATCTTCTCTTTATTCCTGGTGTTCTGATATTTGACATAGTGTCTTTGTGTATGTGTGTGTGTTTTTCCCAGTTATTGTATTGAGGACTTAATGGGCATTTTGGCTAGACTCTAGAAAATCATGCCTTTCAGTTCAGTTTCTTTGGACATTTTAGTTTTCTCATTTCTCTTTTTTGAGGGGTCAGGATGTCTGTTGTTCCTGATATTTTGATGCTTAATCTTATTTGTCTCATTTTCATATCTCCCCCCATCTCTTTTTTCTTGGCTTTCCGAAAAATTGCCTCAGCTTTCAGATGGCCACCATCTTGCTGTGTAATTACATGGCCATTGGGGGGGGGGGATAGAGGGATCTGAGATCTCTTTTCCTCTTTTCATAAGATCACTAGTCCTATTGTATCAGGATCTCATGCTTATGATGTCATTAACCTCATTACCTCCTAAAAGCCATATCTCCAAATATAGTCATATTAAGAGTTAGTGTTCACATATTAAAAAATACAAATTTTGGGGGGGGAACAACAAAATTAAGTCCATTGCAATCTGTAACAAATGGTATTACAATAGAGGAGAGAGATGGGGCTCAATTTTGAATACAGCAAAGACAGCTGGGGATTATAGCCAATAAGGAGAGTAAGGGGGTCAGTGGATCCAAATTAACTAAGAGAAAACAGCAAGGATAGGAGATTCTTGAAGGCAGTTCAAGGATTTATACATCAAAGTTAGGGGATGAAAAACTTGATCAGATATCAAGGGAGAGGGAATTTCTCCAAATTGGCTTATCAGGAGTCTTGCTAAAACTGGCCTATGCAGACCCAAAAAGGATAGGACAGACATGGAAGGCCTAGTGCCACAGCCTCATCAAGAAGCAGGCTCAGAGGAGCCTAATTAAAGTTTGGTCAAGGAGAGAGTTTTTTCAGCTTGTGGTAATTTGTTTTCTAAAGATTTTATTTATTTGAGAGAGAGAGAATGTGAGAGAGATCATGAGCAGGGAGAGAAGGGTAGAGGGAGAAGCAGACTCCCCGCTGAGCTGGGAGCCCGATGTGGGACTCGATCCCAGGCCCCTGGGATCATGACCTGAGCCGAAGGCAGACGCTTAAAGGACTGAGCCACCCAGGCGCCCAGTTTGTGGTAATTTATATATATATACTCTTAAATGTTCTGGCATTTCTCATTCCAGAGAATGTCTTTTCCAGAGAATAACCTTGAAGCTTCTCTTGGGGTAGTGATGGGAGTGGGATGTATTTGCCTAGCAATGTGGAGTATGTGCATGTTGGTGGTATTAGGAAATCTCTTTCTTTTTTTTTTTTTAAAGATTTTATTTATTTATTTGACAGAGAGATACACAGTGAGAGAGGGAACACAAGCAGGGGGAGTGACAGAGGAAGAAGCAGGCTTCCCGCTGACCAGGGAGCCCGATGTGGGGCTCGATCCCAGGACCCTGGGATCATGACCTGAGCCGAAGGCAGATGCTTAACGACTGAGCCACCCAGACGCCCCAGGAAATCTCTTTCTTAAACAGCTTTCACCTAGTCTTTCTTATGTTAGACCCTCTCTTTTCACTCTTGGTTCTAGAAGTGTCTTTGCAGTATAGTTACTATGTCTTTTGAAAGTCAGTGGTAAAATTTGAGTTGTCTTCCATCTTTCCCTATTCCTGACTTGAGATTCAGCTCTCTCAGGTTTGCTGAGTCAGTTGCCTCTCAACCATCTGCTTTCCAGCTTCCAAAGTACTGTTGCTATTGTCTCCTCTTTGTTTTTTCCCATCCTTGTGGACTGATTTCTTTTTAAAGAATCACTTTACTGTAGATTTAGGGATTTGATGAAGGGGCAACATTAGTTGTGTGCCTTTAAATCTGTTGTCTTACCTGGGAAGTTGCAGCAAATGGTTCAGAATGGGAAAGCAATTTGAATAGTTCAAGGGAATTCGTCATTTTTTTAGACTTTGAGGATTTTGCTGTGATTTTTTTTTCAGATACTTAATTATTCTTAATGATATTTCATGACTATTCTGTAATTTCCTTCTGTACTTAGAAGAATAACAAGACCATTTTTGTAAAATTTACTGGTGGCTTCAAATAGCAGGTATTGGGAAAAATAAGTGGGAACAGCATGACTAGTATCTGTTGGGTACCATTAGAATGATGATCTCAATTTTGTCACTAAATCCTCATAGCAATTCTGTAAGGTAAGCGATATCACTTATTGGTAAGGATAAAGATAATGATCAGCGAGATTAAGTAACTTGCTTAAGAGCTAGTCAGATAGTGGTAGAGCTTAGTTTCAAGCTTAGGTTTTTAAGACCTTTCAACTCTTTTTAGTTCACCATCTCCTTTTACTCTTCGAAACTGTGTGCACAATTCATTCATTCACTCAGTGACTATTAAGTTGCCTGCTCTGTGTTGGGCCTTGGGAACACAGAGAGGACTAGTTCATGCCCTGATGGAATAGGGATGGCATGATCAGATTTACCTTTCATTAGGATTTCTGGTGATCCATGCAGATTGGCAAGAGTAGCAGCAATAGGCAGCTTAAGTTAATTACAGAAGTCTGGTAAAAGAACATGTTGGTTTTAACTAGGATGACAGAGGCAATATAAAGAAATGGGTGAAAATGAGATGCCTATTAGAGGTAGAGTTGACAGGTTTAGGGGAGTGATATGAATTTGCAGGGAGCTGGAAGAATTGAGGATGACCGCATGTTTGATTTGAATTGAGTGTTGGTGCATTTACTGATATAAGGAAGAACAGGCTGGGGTGGTGGAAAAGAGTAACAATATAATCATAACAATGTTACATCTTTTAGATATACCCATGGGAAGATGTCCAGTAGGCACATGAACATCTGGGAACTCAACTGAGTGGTGTTCTGGGCTAGAGCAATAAATTTGGGCATCACTCACCTAAAGATGGGACTTAAAGCCATGGGACTACATAGAATTATTTAGGTAAAGTGTGTAGATGTAGGTGTGGTAAGTCTGAAGCAGTTACTGATTCACTTCTCTGGAGAATCTTCATTTAATTTCTTAACTTGGAATTACATGTAAACCTAATAGCATTTGCTCCTTGGGGAAAGCGAATTCCACTGTATAGTCATGGCATAAAAGATATTAACCAAGAAGCACATTGCAAACATGCCAGTAGTTAGCAGCTTTTTGACTGAACTACATACTACACATCCTTGACTTTCAGGAGAGAATAGATCTGAGAGCATCCACATGGGAAATCCCAGATTTACAAATGCCACAAAAGAGGAGAGTTTATGGTATGTGCATCAACTCTTCTTTAAATATAGATAAGTAGTGAAAAATAAGTTCCCATTTAGATGCTGAAACTAGAACATCCGGGATCACTCACTAGCCAATTCACTATTACACATTAGTCTCATAGAATCCGAGCTCGTTAAAATTAAATATTTTACATGTCATGAACCCTTTGGGATGAATTATAAATGTTAGATATGACAGTGCTAAGCATGAAAGAAGCTTTATAAGAACACTTGAAAAATTAGAATTCACAATCTCAGTGTCCATCAGTAGGACAGTAGGTAAACAATTGTGGTATAATTGTTCAGTGGGCTAGTATATGCAACAACATGGTTGAATATCAACATTTTGTTGAGTGAAAGAAGCCACACATAAAAGCTATAAGATTTCATTTATATGAAGTTCAAGAAAAGGCAAAAATTAGTCTGTGATGAGACAAATCAGAACATTGGGTCTCTATGGAGGTTAGGGATTGACCATAAGGGAACTTCCAGGGGATAATGGAAATGCTCTACATATTGATTGCGGTGTTTGTTAAATGGGTATATGTATTTGTTGAAACTCACCAACTTGTATACATAGGATTTGTACATTTCACTGTGTATAAGTTTTACTTCAGTCAGGGGCGCCTGGGTAGCTCAGTTGGTTAAGCGACTGCCTTCGGCTCAGGTCATGATCCTGGAGTCCCGGGATCGAGTCCCACATCGGGCTCCCTGCTCGGCGGGGAGCCTGCTTCTCCCTCTGCCCCTCCCCCATCTCGTGCTCTCTCTCTCTGTCTCATTCTCTCTCTCAAATAAATAAATAAAATTTTTAAAAAAAAAAAAAAAAAAAGTTTTACTTCAGTCAAAAAAAACCCAGTATGCTGAGTGGTTCTGTGAGGGTACATATAGGGAGCCACATGGGTAAAGCATCCCTGTAGTCTCAAATTGTCGGGGTAAGTTTCTCAGGGGAGGTAGTCTTTCACATGTCTCATTTTTATCCCTTCAGGTTTAAGATGACTTTTGTTAAACTCTTAGTTAACTCTACACAATAACATCTATTCCTGGGACAACTGTTTAATTTATTGTGTGATTCAGAATACTTTAGGTAATAAAAGGAAGTGTTTTTATCAGCTACACTGGGGCAATAAGTAAAAACTGTGACTGTTTCTCCCGATTTCTGTACTGCTCAAAGTGTAGTACTCCACTGCAATCACGGTTGAAGGAAGGCAGTAGGAGAGCAGGTGTTACCTGAGGGGTAGTCTCTGCGTGGTCCTTATCTAAAGGTGGATAAAAGGGGTCAGGATTACCTGTGGCAGGGGCCGACATGTGTTTCTATGAATGGCAACTTACATGTTAGCTTTCTAAAAAGATATTTATTTTTTATTTCCAAAGTTATTCATGTTGTTTTATTTGTTCCTTTCAAACAGGAGATAGTGGACACTCCTTTCAAAAATGGAGGATGGAAAGCCTGTTTGGGCACCACACCCTACAGATGGATTTCAGATGGGCAATATTGTAGATATTGGCCCTGACAGCTTAACAATTGAACCCTTGAACCAAAAAGGCAAGGTGAGTTTCTCAGTTGAGATTTCAAAATTTGATTTTTTTTCTATAGATGTCTCCCTTCTTAATGAAATAGATAGTCCTAGCACGGTATAAGGGAAAGCAATTTTCTGGTAAGTGAATCTTAGTTTTCTAGTGAGTTATTTAATTATTGTTTAAGTATATATCCTAGGGAAAAAGTGGTGTCCTATCATAAAATCGGACAGAAATCTAGTGAGCCTTTTATTATCTCATTCTTAAGAAATAGCTGTATGAGAAAATATGAACAATAACATTTTTATTCCTTATGCTGTATTGCTAAAGCTAATATATCTGTGATGTAGTCAACATGTTATAAAACAAAAATATGAAAAGTGAATGGGATTATTTTATCAAGTTTTGCTTTTTGCTTTAGCTTCTAGATGATTTTTTTAAGCCTTTTATTTACTTAAATTTATTAGCATGGGATTGGAGTAAATATATTTCTATTAAATAAAGATAGTTGTCTCTTTTTTAAGATACTTAAGTCTAACAAACCCATCTATTATTACTAATATTTTCATTATAATGATAGTTTTTAAAATACAAAAGCATACTTTAATTTTGTACACATGGCATCTGTTTCTTTTTAAGCTTAGAGTAGACAGTATTACAAAATGGGAGTTTGGGGAAAATGTGATCAGGAGTCTCTTTGAGTCTTCATGGGGACTATAAGGTCTGTTGTTGTGGGAGAACTTCACAGTTTTCAGTTTAATAAATACTCCTGTTAAACAGATCTTCTGACTAAATTAAATATGTTGATGTCATTTCTGTTTACTTTAGACTCTGAGACTGTTCGTGAATAATTTATATTATACTGATACATTGTTAACTAATGCCATGTGACTGCCATCCTTCTGGGAACCTTAGAAAAACAAGGTAGATCTCTCATGAGGTCTTTTCACAGAGAAAACTATTCTGTTACTGTAAACAACCCAGGAACCTAAATGCATAATATACAATGTGCTGTGTTAGAGGAGGCCAATTAAAGATATTCTCAGGAAAGAAAACACAAAGTGTTTCTAGTTTTTCCTCTTATTAACAAGTACCTCTTTGTACTTACAATGCTTTACATGTTCAAAGAATGACAGAGTTAAGGAATAAGCTCAATTATTTTCATATATTTGAATCTGTAGGGGAGGGAAAATTTTCCTCTACTCTTTCAGGTCTCTGGCTAGACCTAAGAATAAAACCGATATAAGACAGATTCACAGTAGAAAAGCATACCATTTTTGTGTGTATATTGGAACCTTCACAAGAGAATGAAGATCCAAAGAAGTGACCTGAGCAGAAAGCTTTTATACCTTTTTGACAAAGAAACAATAAATTTGTGAAGAATTGATAAGACAAAGGGGTTGGGGTTAGGGGCAGTACATTGTGGTAAAGTAATTAGGAAGATAAGAGTTAGTGTGACAGAGTTTGTATAGATTTCTCTTGGCCTTGATTCCCCGTCTCTGGTGATAAGAATGTCTTCTTTCTTCCTGGTACAGGGAGGGCACTTTTCACGTAGGAATTTTATCTTCTGATTTCAGGGATAAAAAGGAGGGTGAGAATGGCTTTCTTGCACCTGCTGTTTCTCAAGAACGTTTAATTGAAAATAATTAGTATGTCAAAGTAGTATATTTAGGGTTATAGAAATTTAGTGAGCCTTTCAGTATCCTCCAAAGTCTTTTTTCATTTTTATGTAACACATTTTATAAGAACAGTAAATCAGAAGGCTACAATGAAATGAAAAGTATTATTTCCTAGGTATATTCTGTTGTATATATTTTGTTATATCCACAGGTGACAAAATAATTCAATTCAGGCATAGAGGAAACTTGATTTATGAGTATATGCTTTTTCATATTTTAAATATTTTGTGTGCTTTCAACTTTTGCCTTAATAGTATTAGTCAGTACATACATAGAAGCAATAGAAACACTTCAAATTTAAATTGTGGTGTTATGAAAACTTTATGGATCTGTAGGTAATTCTATAAACTAAGAAGCTTCTTTCCATAAAAATTTTTTGGAAGTTAACAAATTCTCAGGGATTGCTTCTAATTTTAATTTTTTCTCCTACTCTCTGATCAGGGTCTTAATAAACTATAACATGTCATAATAACCATATAGTTGAAAAGATCCATATGAGTAGCAGTCTTTTGCTTAGGTAATTCATGGTAGAGAGATCATCATCTTTTAAATATTAAGGAATTAAGTGCATAAAGTGATGGACAAGTCAAGTAGATCTGTTTGCTGATATAGTAGAAGCATGGAAGAGGGAATTATTAGCTCTGGTAGGGACCATGTCTTTGGTGATAGTAATGGCTTTAAAAATTTTTTGATTGTGACCAATAGTAAGAAAATGGATTTTACATTGCATTTGATATGTGTTTTGTGCATGTGTATATATTTATAAGAAATAGATTATATATGTCAACAAGTATGTGTATTATGCATGTGTATGCATATTTTTAAGTGAAACATCCTTATCACATGTGATGCATTCTGATATTTTTTAATATCTTTTATGCTGTTGAAAATGCTGTCTTGAACCTCTAAATTGATTTCATGTTCTATATGCAGCAGACTGGAAATCAGGCTAAAGCTCTAACTCTATGGCATATTAAGGGTCCACATTTTCTTTTTCTCTCTCCTTTGCTAGTATTATCTTTTATCAGTCAACAGTCTCCTCCTCATACTCTTGCCATATGATTATTCTTGTGTGTCTGTTTCTCCTTTTCTTCCATCTTTCCTCTCCAGTATTTATCATGCCCTCACCATGAACCAGGTGGTTTTGGGTGCTTTGTGTCCTTGCTCACAGTGCTCCTTTTGTCACTCTCCATAGCTTTTTGCTTAGCAAATATTATTTATCTCTTAAGACTGAGGTCACCTCCTTTATGAAGTTTTTCCACAGATATCCAATCTCTTCCTCCTCCTCCCATGCAGTAGAATTTACTGTTGATTATTTCTTCTTTGGAGGAGTGCTAAAAATTCTTAGCTGCCTGTAATATTTTATCAGAGATATTTGTGTACATTTCTCTCCCCCTCCCTACCAGATTGTATTCTCAAATGCAGAGACTCCTATTTGTTCGTTTTGTCATTGGAGCTTGATGTGCTGTGTTTGATGTGTGGTAGATGTTTACTGCTGGTGATCAATGTGTGCTTTGTTATGTGATCTTCCCCTGATAGGAGAAAAATGCATCCTCCCTCTAAAAGAAAACAATTGCTTTAATGAGACAAATTTTCTTTCTCACTGAGTAGGCAGTAAAAGGGAGAAGATGAGAGCTGGTGATAATTGGGGGATGAAGGAGGGAGAGAAACTATCTTTTAGGATTCATTACTGGCCTTTTACCCCTGCTCTTAACCTTCCCATTTGAGGAATTTGTTGTCCTCCACTGCTGCCCCACTTTCTGGATCCTCTTATATTTGATGTGGCTCCTAACAAGATAGAACCAAAAGCTGGGGCCTGGGGAGTCCTTACCCCCTTTGCCACAGCTGTGAAAAGGCTAATGTCTGTGACATGAGCAGTTATTTTTGAATGCATTTTCCTACAGAATCATTGTTAGAAATTGTAGATTGTTTTATATTGCCATTAATATACTTAATGTACATTATGGATCAGTTCTGATTTTATGATCTATCTTGTAAACCATTGCCCATTTATAACATGTGTGCTGGGTTCCAAATAAGTAACTTCCAGAGTTTTTAGGCATAACCAGTTTCTAATTTGGGTGTGACTTTGAATTAAGGTAGTATCAGCGGCCTGGATTTTACTCTGTAAACTATAGCAGTAGTCTTGTCTTATACTCTGGCATATATGTACAAATGTAGACCTATAAATATTATTTTAAAATAATTGAACATTTTTCCTTAGAGTTTTATTTGATATAGATGGAAACTTCAACCACAAGAGTAATTGTAATTGAGAAGTATAAATTTATAGATGACTGTTAGAATGACATGAATAAAATTTAATACTCTTTAGATGTAATTTGAGATCATTTATTCTCTCTTGCAAGATACTGTCTTAATTCTAGAGTTTCTACCATAGCATTTAAGTGGTATAATAAATACAGACTTATTCATGGATATCTGTAATTTTATAGACCAAATAGTTTTGGATACTGTTTATATTTCTGATACATTTCTATACAGGAATTTGGGTCTAATATGTTTTACTCACACAGTAGCATTAATTAAATAATAGTCTGTTCTGTTGGTATATCTAATTGAATGTACTTTTTTTTAAACAATAAAACTGCTTTATATACAAACATTAAAAATTTTTTAAAAAGTTGTTAAAGTACGTACCATGTAAATTTAATATTAACATACTTCTTGTTTTGCCCCATTCTAGCTAGGCGTTAGAGCACAGGATGTTTTTTATTGATTTCCATTCTTGATTTCATGTTCATGGTAAAGTGGATAATATTTGAGTAAAGTTATTATCCTCTTTTTGGGTTAGTGACTTATTAAATAGAAGGATCTTGTATTACATTTTAATGAAGAGCATACTGTTGCCATTATTACAAGGTATGCGGCCAATTAAGCTCCTTTATTTTTCTTACTGTTTATAAGCTTCTAGTTTAATGAGCTCTTGTTTTGTTTGTTAGACATTTTTGGCTCTCATAAACCAAGTGTTCCCTGCAGAAGAAGACAGCAAAAAAAATGTGGAAGATAATTGTAAGTATCAGGTTAAAAAATAGTTCTAAGCACAGAAAAGGAAGCTTTCCTTCCAAAAAGTAAATTAGTGGTTATATTACTAGGTATACTCTACTGGTTCAGAAGAAACGTAGCCTTTTGATATGAAGGTTCATGTGAATGGGGGAGCTCAAAAGTCCTGAATTCATTATTGTCTCACATTTGCACTTTGGTGAGAGAGTCTTGAATGTCCTTTTAGTGTTACCTCAGTTGTGTAAATGTGGGAAACGGTAATAATTTACTATGAAGCCTGAACCAAAAATCTCTTAACAGTTCTGAAGGAGTTATTTTGAAGCTCATCTAGAATCAGATAGTTTTTATAGTAGTATATGTGGTTCAGTAATTTGGAAGTTGAATCAAGAGGACCCATTTAATGTCACTGTTTAAGGGAAACCAACATTAAAAAGAAGTATAATAGGTACTAATTGAAAAATTGATTTTAGAACATTGTATTTTATCTGAGCATATTTGGTGACCAGACCATGTTTATTCTTACATTTTCAAGGTTAAGCAGTTTCAGTTTTTATTTGGCAATATTTTTTTTAAAGACTTATTTATTTTAGAGAGAGAGCATGCAAGCTGGGGGAGGGACAGAGGGAAAGAGAGAGGGAGAGAGGCAGACTCCCCGCAGGAGTCACAGGGCTCCGAGTGGGGTTCAGTCTCATGACCCTGAAATCATGACCTGAGCTGAAATCAAGAATTGAACACTTAACCAACTGAGCCACCCATGCACCCCTATTTGGCAGTGTTTTAAGAATCATGTCCCGTTGCTTGGTTATCATTAATGGTATCTGACATTAAAAACTCTCCATTTAAAGAAAAAAGGGACTCCTGGCTGGTTTAGTCGGTAGAGCATGCATTTCTTGATCTCGGGGTTGTGGGTTCGAGCCCCACACTGGGTGTAGAGAGTACTTAAAATCTTAAAAAAAAAAAGGGGGTGCCTGGGTGGCTCAGTCGTTAAGTGTCTGCCTTCGGCTCAGGTCAGGATCCCAGGGCCCTGGGATCGAGCCCCACATCGGGCTCCCTGCTCGGCGGGGAGCCTGCTTCTCCCTCTCCCACTCCCCCTGCTTGTGTTCCCTCTCTCGCTGTGTCTCTCTCTGTCAAATAAATAAAATCTTAAAAAAAAAAAAAATCTTAAAAAAAGAAAAAAGTAAGAGAAAGGAATGTATTTTGTCCTTGTTGATTTTTCTTTGGAGTTCACATTTGCGTAAGCCTGTAAGGTTCCCATATGTGGATGGGACAACGTGGAATAGTGGAGTAAGGGAGAGCCAGGGACTCAGGGAGAGCCTGAGTTCAGATTCTGACTGTGCTGTTAGGAAGCTGTGTGCTTGTGGTCAATTTATCTCTCCTCTTTGAGCTTCTCATGTTAAATTTGGAGTAATAGTAATAATGTATATGTTGCATGTGTAGAGATGACATATTTAAAATGCTTGGTGCAGTGCCTGACCTCTAACAGTCTCTCAAATGGTAGCTGTTATTATTAGGTATAGGAGATTGAGGAAAAAAAATGTAGAGTTTCTTTCCAAAATTGCTGGAGAATTTGTATCATAATATTTTCCTGAACAGTAATCAGAACCAAAAAAAAAAAAAGGAAAATAAAAGAATGCGATTCTACAGTATTTAAAATCAGAGAAATGATTCTTTTCTGTTAAAACTTGCTGGAACATTCAGAACTACGAATTAATCCTTTTCATATATTAAAATAATGTTTTTTGTTTACATATCTGCATGTAGCTAAACATAATAAATGGTTTTGAATTTTTTTAATCCATTTCTTAAATTAATATTTTAAAACATGGTTATATGATATTCTCTCTGCTTCCTTTAAGTTAGAATTCCTAATTCCACAGTATGTTCCCCTGAAAAAGCTAATAATATAAGGCCATACTAACATGTGAATGACGACTTGCTCTCATTTCTTTACTTCCTTCCGCACACACCCCCAGCCTTATCATGAATATCTTTTAATGAAACTAAATGAATCCCTAAGTTGTGAAATATCTGCCAACGGACACAAGGGTCTTCCTCTTAAATTGTACTACTCAAGGTATTTCATTTTATTAAGACGTTGAAAGGTAAATGGTATTTCAGAATGGTAGTTCAGAGGAAGGTGAGAGAAGGGGGAGTGGTTTAGCATTGTGCTTTGGATAAGAAAAGGTGACATGTAGATCAGGCTCCTGGGGGATGAAGGTGGAAGAAGTGCAGGGTTATAGAAAGGTTGGTGACCAGAAGCCAAACTAGATATACCTCTGCTGCCTACCTTCTCTAAATCTTTCTCAGTTCAAGGGAAAGATGCCATTCAACTGTTAGGAGGCTTCACTCACTAACTTCTTGTTTTATTCTGTTATAAGTGACATTAGAAAACAGTGAGATGGACACCTGGGTGACTCAGTCAGTTAATCATCTGACTCTTGATTTCAGCTCAGGCCATGATCTTGGGGTTATGAGATCGAACCCCACGTGGGACTCCACACTGGGCATTGAGCCTGCTTGGGATTGTCTTCCTCTCCCTCTGCCCCTCCTGTCCCTTCTGTCTCTCTCTCTAAAAAAAAAAAAAAGAAAAGAAAAGAAAACAGTGCCACATATGTGCTTGGGAAGTGAACTGGCTGCATTATGTGACTATAGAGGCCTAGGCAGTCTTTTTTGAGATAGATACTGCAAGAGACTCTTGTTTGACAGGATTGGTCTGTGGTAAGCACCCTAAAGAAAGTACAAAGAAGAAAGTAGTTCTAGTGGTGGTGGTGGTAGTGAGAATGGGGAATTATCCTTTGTGAGATAATTTTTGAACTGACCTTAAAGTGTAGGTAGACTTTTGACACCTAGAGATACAGAGGTAGACTCCAATGCATGAATATATTTGGGTTTGATAAGTAGTTTAGTCTGCCTGCAAGTTAGACCATAGTAAAGGGAATTACGGAAAATTATATGAAAAGGTCAGTTGAATGTAAAGGTAATTACATAGTAAAGGGAATTACGGAAAATTATATGAAAAGGTCAGTTGAATGCAAGTTTAATAAGGGCCTTGAATATCAGACTTGAATATGGATTTTGGTAGTTGATGGAAACCCAGTGATGTTTTTTGAAGAGGAGAAAGATTTAATTAGTGTTCTAGTTTAGTTAGATTTATGTGTTGAGTAGTCTGGGTGGATTAGAGAAGAGAGAGAGTGCTAATAATAGAAACAAAGTGGTTGGGGAAAAAGAGTGGTTTTGTCTACTGTAGCATGTGGTAGAAATGAAGAAATGAAACCCAAGGGAGTGGAGGGCTGGGAGAGTAAATATTAGGCTGGGAGAAAGAATAAGTCAGAGTATATTATGATATATAAGTCAGAGTATATTATGATAATATTATGTATAATACAATGCACATTAACAATTATATGTGTGTGTATATATGTATGTATATAATACATACTTTGATGTATTAGTAGAGCAGATCTCAGAAAAACAAGATTTCTACCCTGATTGTGTTAATTAGCTGCATGTCCTGGATTAACACATATAATTTTCCCAGGACTCTTATTTCATATCAGTTGTAAGGCATTGACTGAATGATCTGATTGTCCCTTCTCATTCTAAAATTTTATCTTTTGTGTTTTTCTGTAAAATTCTGAGCATCTGATTTATTTAGTATAATCACTTTGTTGTATTGAAAGTGTTTTAAAATCAACACTCTATGAAGTGTAGTACTTTCTTTCCACTTGAATTGTACTCAACTTCTTAGTCAACTTTCATCAACTTTCATTAATGTATACTCACCTGGTACTCAATAGATGTACTCACCTGTTTGGAAATTTGTTGTTTAAAAATATCACTGTAACACATGTAAACTGGATGTATTTTAAATTGGCCTCTGGGGTTTTACATGTCCCAGCGTTTTAAAAAGATGGAATTAAATCTAACCTAGGGGCGCCAGGGTGGCTCAGTCATTAAGCGTCTGCCTTCAGCTCAGATCATGATCCCAGGGTCCTGGGATCGAGCCCACATCGGGCTCCCTGCTAGGCGGGAAGCCTGCTTCTCCCTCTCTCGCTCCCCCACTTGTGTTCCTGCTCTCGCTAACTCTCTCTCTCTGTCAAATAAATAAATAAAATCTTAAAAAAAAAAAAAAAATCTAACCTAGCAGGTGGATTTTAGCTTGGATCAAAGTGATTCAGATTAAGATAGTATTGTTTTATCTTGCTTTTCTTCAAATATTTAGTGGTTTACAAATTTTATGTTTCAGGTTCACTAATGTATTTAAATGAAGCCACTCTTCTTCATAATATCAAAGTTCGATACAGTAAAGACAGAATTTATGTAAGTATTTTACATATGATTTAGGTTTTTGTGGGGATAATTGTTTTACATGCTGCTGTTTGATTTTGTCAAGCTTGAAATTTTCTAACAGGAAATCTTATTTGATCTGTTGAATAGAATGTGACCTCCATAAGGATAAGGATTTTTTTCTAGTTTACTGCTCTAATTCCAGGGTTTAGAACATGCATGGTACATAGTAGGCACTTAATGAATATTTGTGGAATGAAATAATGAATTCAGAGCATCATCTGATATCTTTCAGACTTAAAAATATCCAATTTGGTGGTTTCAAAAAAAAACACTAATTGGGATTTTGATTTCTTATTTTTGGCATATGTTTATAGATACCATTTAGTTAATTCACTTTCCACATTTTTCTGCAAAAAGTTAAGGTAACTTATAAAGATAAAGAGAATATATATTGAAATAAATACTTTGATGACAAAGAAATGTAAATTAAAAGAGAAAGCAGTACCTGAGGAAATCTCAAGAACACTAAAACACATCATAAAGCCTAAATAGTTGCAATATTTCATTAAACCCTAGATAACTTACCTTAAAAAACCAGAATATTAAAAAATGAAAGAAAGTGCTTTTGATGTTAGTTAGGATTTATACCACATTGTTCAGATGGATACTTAATTAGTATGTTTCAATTATAATTATTCATTGGGCATGTATGAGGTTTTATTCTAATATGACCTTGTAGATTTCTTTGTTGGCTGGAGATAAATTACCCCACTGTAGTTCTCCTGTTATAAAGATGTGGCTCCATTATTTTTGAAAGAAGAAAACACATGGCTTCTGTGACTCTTCCCAGCTCAAATGGCAGTCTTAATCTTTTATATCACTATCAATTTGCCTAATTATACTCACTTAATTCTGACTAAATTACCTTTAGTCTTTGCCATCTGTCCTAATAGTGACAGCTGGGAAATAGAACTAGTCTTGTCTTTTTCAGGAGAGTTTACTTGCCATCTTTCAATTGTATACAATATTAGTCTTCACTTTCTTCTTTGATTTTTTTTCAAAATTGACTAAACAGAATATATTTAGGTTGTTATATGGCTATTTTTTGATTAGAAATACATTTAGAAGCAAAATTCACTCAATCAGCAGACTAATATTGAGAATCTGCTGTATGCTAAATGCTGTTTTAGTTACCAAAATAATGCAAATTTTTTAAATTTGTTAAAACAATTGAACTTGTAATAAGTGATTAAAAGTTGATTTGGCTCTAACCAGGAAATACCATCTTTCAAGTAAAAATGGTCACTATTTTTTCTGTACATGTCTTACATTACTTGGTGGTATAGCAATCATATTTATTTTAGCAAATTTTAATTGTTTTAATATTTTTTCTAGAAATTTGGAAAATTTTTATTACTTTCACAAGGAATGATTTTACTTTTTAAGAATTGAGATACTTTATTTTTATTTGGGATATTTATACAAAAGCTTGACACTCATGGGATTTTTATTGGTCTTTTACTAAGTTTCCTATGTTGCTGTGGTATTGCACATTGCTGACTGTGACCATTAATAACTGAAGATTTATACGCATATTTGTTATACTTTCAAGAAAATTAGTTGTCTTTTTTTTCACATTTAGTTGACCTACAGGTCTTTTCTAAATTGCATGATTGATAAAAAAATTATCCATTTGTGAACTTTAAGTTTTTGTTTTTCATGTATAATGTCTACATCGCTCTGGAGTATTTTAGGGTTATTCCTAGCTTTTTTGATCTTTCTTTTCCTAAGATGTGTATGCAGTTGGGCAAGTGACCTCTGTTAGATAGTGGCTTTTTGGCATCATCAGCTTCTGTTTGGAAAACCAGTATTTTCAAAGTTATCTGAGGCCATGATTGGTATGTTTTTCCTAGCCAATTATGTCTTTTAGTTATAAAACTATTAAAAATCAGCAATACATAACTATAGTTATTATTACTCTAACATATGGAAGAAATGGTAGTAGTTTGGAATAAAAGTTTAAATTTGATTTTTTTCTATTTCTCACCAACCGGAATTATCATAATTCTTCCTTAGACTTGAGTAGAACAATAGCTAACTCACATTTAACATTTTCATTGGCTACTAAAATGTCTGTTACTTTCCTTTGTTTCCTACAGAAAGATTATTACCTGGAATTTAAAAATTTTTTACTCCACTGCAGTAAACATCTTTGAGAGCATTCATTGAATTTTAGATTAGTAGTCTGAGAGTTCAGGGTTTCTGCATCATTTCCCTTTTACGACTAGAAGCACAAAAGAGAAAAATATGGTCCTGCCTGCCCTAGTTTGGCCAGTAAACCACAGCTAATTGCTAAACCACAACTCTTTTTCTACCCACAAGGAATTTTATAAATCCTGTTGGTGCATTTTTCTGGTCTTTTAGAGCCACAGTTAAATTCCAAATTTAAAAGCAAACTTAAGTTGGTCATTAAACATTTAGCCTGTCAATATTCTAGACAATGGTTAACATATGTTGTTTTGCAAAAATCTGGGACCAAGTGCTCACTAGAGCACTAAATTAATTCTTGGCTTTCAGTGATGGAGATTGGTCTAGAGGATCCTATGAGCTCTTTAAGCTCTTCAGTAGCAGGGTAAATAAAGTAGTCCAGGTGAGGAATATAAATGACTAAGACTTGAGCTGTAGGAATAGATATAGGAGGGTAGATTTCTTTTTTTTTAAGATTTTATTTATTTATTTGATGGAGAGAGACAAAGCAAGAGAGGGAACACAAGCAGGAGGAGTGGGAGAGGGAGAAGCAGGCTTCCCGCTGAGCAGGGAACCCGACGCCAGGCTCCATCCTAGGCCCCTAGGATCATGACCTGAGCCAAAGGCAGACGCTTAACGACTGAGCCACCCAGGCACCCCAGGAGAGTAGATTTCTTAAGTAGAGTCAGCGAAGAAGGCTGATTGAAATAGAGGCTTAGACTCAGCCTCTGTCTCAATGTCTGTGGTGGCTTGGTGGTGATGCCATGAACCGGGGGGGCAGGAGGGAGCATATAGGAGGAGAGTGTTTTCTTTGAGACAAACTGTAGTCAAGAGAGATAATCTTAATTTTGGATCTGCTGAGTTTGAGATGCATATAGGATGAGAAGATGAAAATATGTATTAAGAATTAGAGAAATAGGGGTCCTGTAGACTGTATGTTTAGGGCTTGAAAAGCAGATTTGGAAGTCCTAATTTATATAGAGAATTAAAGGTCTGTATTTGCTGTATTTTCTTTCTCCTATGAGCCTTGTTTAGTTTTAAATAAAAATAGTAATTGGAAAATTTTATATTTATGCCTTTTCTGTTTAGACATATGTCGCCAACATTCTGATTGCAGTGAACCCATACTTTGACATACCTAAAATATATTCTTCAGAAACAATAAAGTCATATCAAGGAAAATCTCTTGGGACAATGCCACCTCATGTCTTTGCAATTGGTAAGTGATTTATTTTTTTTTCCTTATATTGTACAAATTTACTGTTTTTCTTTTGGATTAATAAAAGATACCATGAGTTGAATATGTATTTTGGTGGGCCTTTATGCATTTTGAATGTATCACCATTATTTAGAAGCATGTATCTTACACAGGATGGGGAAGACTATTTTTGCAGCTAACTCATGGGGTAGTTATACATCATTATCTTTGTTAAATGTGTCTCCGTCCTCTTAAATATGTTGAAAGTTGGATGGAATAAAAGCTGCCCTAACGGTTCTTTTTTACTCCTTGACACAATCAGCTCCATCTTAAAAGTGTCCTCCTTCATAGCTTTGAGGCCCAGGCCTTCCACTCTTACCCAGGTCATCACTAGTGAGTGTGTTACTAAGGCTAGGTATGAGCCATAAGAGCAGACGTCTTCCCTACCTTATCTTGCATCAGGACTTTATAAATGTTAAGAATTAGAAATGATATATGCTTCATATCTCTAGGGAATCCATGTGGAAGACAGCAGTTTTTGCCTTTCTCAGGTTTTCTCTCATCTTTAGCTCTGAGGAACACAGAGATGGGGTTTTTTGAACATACACACCCCTACCATAGCTGGTGACTGCAAGTACAGAGATGTTAACCTTTTGGATCCAGACATAATCAGCAGTTAAATGATGACATGTTTTGGTAGTAGTTCTTAGTGCAGCCTGTTTCTCTTTGGGGTTTCTTTTCATGCCTATGTTTTGACCAAACAAGGCTTCACTTCCCAATTTGGCTGACTTATGTACTAGGCAGAGTGAATATGTCAGCCAAATCCAGTGCAATAGCAGATTGACTTTTGGTTCTGAGATGCTCTGATGGGCATTAGTATGTTTTGTATCAGCTAGCAAAATGGTGTAAAATCCTTAGAACCTGAATATGACTGAGCTCATCACTGGAGAGAAATTATATGTTTAAAATGTAAGTAAACTGACTTATTTTTAGTTGTTTACTACTAAAAAAAATGTCTAGAATAATATCATGAAAGTGGGTGGAACAGATTGTTGATAAATTTTCCCCTTGTCCTAGCCCCTGGTCAGAAGGATGGATATACTCTTGCATGCAGTTTGCATTCGGTCCGATAGAGTAAAAGCCATTTGTAAAGCCTTCTTCATTTGTATGGGTAGCACATGTCTGAAATGAGAAATAGTTGTCCTATAGAGCTCAATTGGTTAGGACCTAATTTTGAATTAAAATTGTTTTAATATGAGACCACTTTAACAGACTTAAATTGTGCTCAGCTTGTCTTTGTAGTACTACTACACAGATTTTGCAGTTACGAAGTTTTTTCTCCAGCAGAATTTTTGGTTACCAGATTTCTTAATTGGTAGCTGTTCTTGCTTTTCCCTGGGGCCCTTCATTAGTTACGTATACTGAGCTTTTTTTTTGGTCTGCTCTGGAATTAGGAAGAACTGAGCCACAGATCGTAATATGAAGACATTCTAGTACAAACATAAGAGTTGTTTATTTGGATTTCATATTACTTAGCCGACAGGGTAATAAGATAGGACATTTAAAGTAAAAACTTTTAGAGATGTTTTGAACACTTGATTTTATTTTAAAATGTTACTAACTGTAAACATACATTTATAATTTCTTTAAGAGCAAGTATTCTTTGATAGTAAGACAACTTTGTATCATTTAGTATATTTGTATTTAGTACACTGCTCATCCTTAATGTGTTATTTTGACCCTAGCTGATAAGGCTTTTCGAGATATGAAGGTGCTCAAGATGAGTCAGTCTATCATCGTATCTGGAGAATCAGGAGCTGGCAAAACAGAAAATACAAAATTTGTTCTAAGGTGAGGAGTTTTTAACTAACCTGGAATATTTTGAACAAGTTTATTTTTTTTTTAATTTGTGATAAAAAATATAGCATAACACTTACCAGTTTAAACATTTCTCAGTGTACAGTTCAGGAGTGTTAAGTATATTCACATTGTTTTTCAGCCAATCTCCAGAACTTTTTATCTCTAAAACTGAAACTCTATGCCCGTTAAACAACTCCATTTCCCTCTATTCCAGCCCCTGGCAACTACCCTTCTGCTTTCTGCTTCTATGATTTTGACTACTGTAGATACCTCATATAAGTGAATCATACAGTATTTGTTTTTCTGTGGCTGGTTTATCCCACTTAGCATAATGTCCTCAAGTTTTATCCGTGTTGTATCATGTGTCATGATTTCCTTTTTTTTTTTTTAATTTGAGACAGAGCAAGCACAAGTGAGGAGGAGGGTCAGAGAGAGAGAGAGGGAGAAGCAGACTCTCTGCTAGGCAGGGAGCCCGATGTAGGGCTTGATCCCAGGACCCTGAGATCATGACCTGAGCTGAAGGCAAATGCTTAACTGACTGGGCCACCCAGGCGCCCCTTGATTTCATTTTTAAGGCTGCATAATTATTCATTTTGTTTACTCATTCATTCATCAGTGGGCACTTTGGTTGCTTCCAAATCTTGGCTATTGGGAATAGTGCTGCTCTGAACATGTTATGAACAAAGAGATACAAATATCTCTTTGATTGAACAGGTTGACTTTGTATACTTTTGCATACTTTATTTTATTGTATTTTTTAAAGATTTTATTTTTTAATTTATTATTATTTTTTTCAGAGAAGTAGAGGGAGAGATAGAATCTTGATCTCACAACCCGAGATAATGACCTGAGCCAAAATCAAGAGTCAGATGCTTAACCCACTGAGCCACCCAGGTGCCCTAAAGATTTTAAGTAATATCTACACCCAACATGAGGCTCAGACCCACAACCCCGAGATCGAGAGTTGCATGCTCTATCGACTGAGCCAGCCAGGTGCCCCTTGCATACTTTATGACATAGTTTGAAATGGTAGTCTCTGGCCCTTTTAAAACCAGATACCTTATGTGGAAGCTAAGCTTTAGATTGTTGAAAACTATCTCTGACATGTTCTTGTGAGGATCCTAGAGGAGACCCATGCTGGTTAGGCAAAAGGAAATCGAGGAATGTTCCTTCAAAATTCAACCTTTACATTCTGTTCTCAGTATTCCTGCTGTTAGTGTGGTTGAAACCATTTTTTACCTTAAACTTATGGCAGTTGGCTTTCTTATTTCCATCTCCTCATCACCCTCCTCTCAGTGTATCCCCTTTGTTGCCGTCAAATTACACTCTATACTTTGTTTAGAATCACTGCATTATAAATACAGAAGGAACCATAGCACTCTTTAGTGTAGTTCCTTCAGTTTACATACGTAGGGATGTTAAATCGAGTGTTGAAGCTACTGCTAGGAGCAGTGCATTCTGAATTCTCACCAGTGTTATTCCCACTGTATCACAGTCTTAGTCCTTTGCTGGGGGGGGGCCCTTCTTGAAATTTTGCTATTTTTATGTAGATGTATGGTATTCAGTTATTTGTACAAAATTAATTTAGAAGTTTGTTATTGTGTATTATGTATATGCAATTCTGGTTAAGTGAGTGCTTCCTAATACTCTGGGAATTATAAGTGGTTCAATTTCTTATTCTTTCTCTTCTGTATGTAAGAGTCATATGGTGAGTCTTTGGTTTATATACAGCTTTGAAAATGAACAAATAATTTAGAAACTGTAAACTTATAATACAAACTTATGTTTTAAGTCAAAGATTACTTTTTGTTTTGAAATGTTCCAGGAAAATAGTTCTTCCATACTGTTTAATCTTTGGCTAAAACAACATGAAGAGTGGTAATGTCCTTGTTGTTCAATGGCAGATTACCTCACTTTCTCTAGCCATATAGATTGAGTTAATATGCTATCACAGAAGACTTTGGAATCTTATGTAGACGATGAATATTCCTGTGTGAAAAGTGTGGCATCTTTAAAACCAAATAGTTGGTTCAAGTCAGAATATTTCCAAAAACAGCTTAAAAATAGTGCTGATTTTGATGTTCAAGGTAATCCAAATAAAATTTTAAGTGTTTAAAAAGTAACGGGCACCTGGGTGGCTCAGTTGGTTAAGTGTCCAATTCTTGATTTTGGCCCAGGTCCTGATCTCAGGGTTGTGAGATCCCCAAGTCGGGCTCCACACTGAGCATGGAGCCTGCTTAAGATTCTCTCTGCCCCCAGTGGGCTCCATGCTCAGTGGGGAGTCTGCTTGAGGATTCTCTCTCTGCCCTACCCCCGCTTCGTTCTCTCTCTCTCTCTCAAATAAATCTTAAAAAAAGAAAGGTATAACAGAATAGTTGCATTTAAATATAAATCTGTAAATTTTAAATGAATAGTTACAGTGATGATCCAGGTTTAAATTTTACATGTATTAAATAATGTTAAGGTTACAACTATGGGGCGCCTGGGTGGCTCAGTTGGTTAAGGGTCTGCCTTCAGCTCAGGTCATGATCCTGGAGTCCTGTGATCGAGTTCTGCATTGGGCTCCCTGCTCAGGGGGGAGTCTGCTTCTTTTTCTCTCTCTGCCGCTCCCCACTTTGGTGTGCTTTCTCTCTCTCTCAAATAAATCAATAAAATCTTAAAAAAAATAAAGTTAAAATTATAATGTGTGCAATATTGTTGTCATGTGAATTTTTTTATCCTATACTTTAAACAGATATCTGACTGAATCCTATGGAACAGGCCAAGATATTGATGATAGAATTGTTGAAGGTATTGTTAATTTTTAAAATTCTTATTTTTTATTGTTAGATATGTACTGAAATGAACTTACGAGAATCCTCTAAGTGATCTGGAGTGCTCTCCCAGAGATCCAAAAGACTCTTCCATCTCCTACAAATCTTTGCTCAAATATCTTCTCCTTTATTTAATGTCTGTTGTTTTCCCTCTCACCCCATGTAAATGCTAAGAAGGCAGGGATTTTTATATATTCCAGTCTCCTAGAATAGCGTCTGATACATGAGATATGATCCATAAATATCTCTCAGATGAATGAAATAAATACAGGAGGATTTCTGGCTTCCTGTTTGTTTTGTTGACCTTGTTTTTTGCAAAGGAGAGAGGAAGAGTGTTATTTGGAATTAAAATGTTTTTTTGGGGGAAATTTTAATGAATTAGTACAGTTGGAAGGCAGGAGTCTGTAAATTGATTTCCATAAGGTCAGTGCTTGCATATCCCTTAGAAAGTTTTCTTATACCCCGTTTGGAGACTACTGGTCTAGTCAACCACTGTGTTGAATCCACACCACCACCCTGCATCATAGATTCCTCTCTGGTCCCCCCACTTATATTCTTGTTTCCCTGTAATTTGTTCTGTGTGTGGAAGTTGAGATGATCTCTTTTGCTTTCAGTCTTTTAATGGCTTCATATTGCTCTCACGATAAAGCTGCAAATCTGTAACACAAGAGTGAGAGAAAACTCTGGGTGGGCTGGGCAATACTGCATATGCAGTTGGCCTGTAGGCAAGCCAGAGACAGGGGAAAAGGGAGAAGGTAAAACCTACCCATGGACCGCAAGTGTGAGAGCCAAAGCGGGACTATGAACTGTCAAAATTGTCTCTGCCTTCTCATCAGGCAGGGGAGGAGGGATCTAGTTCCTGAGGTACCAGATCATATATCTCTCTGTCTTCTCATAATGATGATGAAATTAACATGTGTGAGATGTATTATGCATTGTGTGATATGCTGAATATCTGTTCCTAATTTAAATCCCCATAGAATGAGGTAGGTACTATTTTATCCCTACTTTACAGATTAAAAACTGAGGTAAAAAGACTTTAAGTGGCTTGCTGAAGAGCATATAGCTTACCAGTTGTGGAAGTGGGATATAATAAACTGAGGCATCTTAACTATGTGCTATACTAAGAGCATATTTTAACACTCTTACTATTTTAAAGAAAAATTTCAGTTGAACAAAAATTTATTAAGGTCCTTCTGTGTTCATGCATTTTGATAAATCATAGCTAGCAAATGTTATGTACATTTTTTCACAATTATGTGAAATATACATGTATATGAACAGAAATACTAATAAACAATTTTATTTTTTATTTTTTAATTTTATTATGTTATGTTAATCACCATACATTACATCACTAGTTTTTGATGTAGTGTTCCACGATTCATTGTTTGTGTAGAACACCCAGTGCTCCATGCAGTACGTGCCCTCTTTAATACCCATCACCAGGCTAACCCAGCCCCCCACCCCCTTCCCCTTTAGAACCCTCAGTTTGTTTCTCAGAGTCCATAGTCTTTCATGGTTCGTCTTCCCCTCCGATTTCCCCCCCTTCATTTTTCCGTTCCTGCTATCTTCTTATTTTTTTTAACATTCTAATAAACAATTTTATAAAGTTTGCATCAATAAAGTTTTTTGTGTTTCTTGATATAATTTTACAGTTTTACTTACAGCTCTCACTGTGGTATTGTAACACACCCAGGTGTGAAGAGCTCATAAGTAATGCTTTATTTACAGTTAAAGTACCTCACTTTAATGAGGGAATCACCCTTTAAAATTGAATAAATAAAAAAGAACAAATTATAGGTTAATTTAATAAAATACTAACTAGTATTCTGATTTGTTTACTTGAGGTACAAACACTCTTGCAAATTGGATATAAACCTGGTTTCTTCCCTGAGACTGTGGTGTATGTATATGTAGTGTGCTGTAGTTGAGAAAAGTTGGAAAGTATTATTCTAAATTGTACAGCTCCTTACTAGAGGATAGTAGATGTTAACTTGCAGAACATAGATATCATTTGATGCCGTCTATAATTGAAGATTGGTTGTTGGTTTTAGAATGAGTATATCAATAGCACTACGTAATTTTCTGATGGGCTGTTTATCCTAATTTTGTATATTTTACTTAATATATTAAATACTTCAGTAAAAAGTAGTAGGTCACCAATAAAGGAGTAGGGGAGGCCTATAATTGAGTCCCCCTTTTGCCAATAGCTAGTCATGTGGCTTTCCACAAGTCAGTGGACTTTGTTGGGCCTCAGTTTTCTTACCCATCGGAAAGGTTAGGTATATATGCAAACTTTTCTTTCAGTTTTAATATTTTCTTAGGTTTTTTGGCAAGTGAAACAATTGGAGAGTGATCTTTAAAAGGGTTTGGATACTTGTTAAGCTTTCTACTGGGATAGAATAAGAGAGATGGACTTTAAAAGATTGCATAAGAAAAATTCTAGTAACAATTGTGAAGCAATTTATGAGGTTGCAGATGGAGAATATATAATATTGGCACTAATCTGGGATGTTTATAGTTGAGACTGGTGAGTGTGAGAATAGACTCTAATATGGGTGCCTTGGTGGCTCAGTTGGTTGTGAGTGACTTTTGATCTCCACTCAGGTGTGATCTCAGGGTCATGAGTTCAGGCCCTGCATTGGGATCCACACTGGGTGGAGCCTACTTAAAAACAACATAAAACAAAACAAGCAATAGACTCTAATAAACCTTTTTTAGTCATGTGGTGCGTATACATGGTTATGAGATAAAAACAATTAAAATTTTACATTTGTTCATTGGGAATTTATTTTTATTTTCATTTTAAAAAATATTTTTAAGTTTTTTATTTCAGATCCACTATAATTAACATACAGTGTTATATTAGTTTCCAGTGTACAATATAGTGATTCAGCAATTCTAGACATCATTGCTTAGTGCTTATCATGATAAGTGTACTCTTTAATCCCCTTTATCTATTTTACCCATCCCCCTATCCACCTCCTCTCTGACACGGTTTTTTTAAACGAGTACCCTCAAAGTTTTTTTTTTTTTTAACAAGAACATTTTTTATTGAAGCATACATCAGAATACATGGTTCTAAAATATATATATAAAACATTCCATCCAAGAAAAATAGAATACACATTTTCTTCAAGTACACACAGAAGAGTCCCTGACTAAATCACATAGAAAAAGACATGGCAATTATTACAAATTTAGGAAGACTGAAATCATACCAAGTATATTCTCTAACCACAATGGTATAAGACTAGAGATAAAACAAAGTTGGAGGGCGCCTGGGTGGCTCAGTTGGTTAAGCGACTGCCTTCGGCTCAGGTCATGATCCTGGAGTCCCAGGATCGAGTCCCGCATCAGGCTCCCTGCTCGGCAGGGAGTCTGCTTCTCCCTCTGACCCTCCCCCCTCTCATGTGCTCTCTCTCAAATAAATAAATAAAATCTTTAAAAAAACCCCAAAAAACAAAGTTGGAAAATTACCATATAAATATTACATATTTAATATGTAAATATTAAACACCACACTACTGTATAAGCAATGGACCAAATAAGAAACAAATGGTAAATCAAAATATGTCTCAACAAAAGAAAAAGAAAATACAATATTCCAAAATCTATGGAATGCAGCAAAAGCAGATGTTAGAGTGAAATTTATGCTATGAATGCTTGTATTAAGAAAAAAGTTCAAATAAACAAATTAACATTACAAGGATCTAGAAAAAGAAGAAACTTAGCTGAAATGCTGAAATTTAGTAGAGGAAGGAAACAACAAAGAAGAATCAGAAATAAATAGAGATAATAAGCAGTATCATAACATTGAAAGTAGTGACCAGTTTTTAAAAAAATAAAGTTGGCAGTGCTTTAACTACATTAAGAAAAAAGGGAGAAGACTTGAAAACCAAAATGAGAAATGGAAGAGAAAACAGTATGGCAGATAACCACAGAAATACATAGTGTGATAACAGATTACTATAAACAGTTATATACTAACAAATCAGATAACTTAGAAAAAAGCAGGATAATTCCTAAAAACGCACAAGTTACCACAAATGAATCATGAATCTTGAAATCAAGAAATAGGAAATCTTCTTAGACCAATAATAGGAATTAAAAATCTCCCAGCACAGAAAAGCCTAAGACCACATTGCCTTCTTTGGTGAATTCTACCAAAACATTAAAAAAATAATTAATGATAGTCTTTATGAAAGTCTTATAAATAATGGAATAGAGGGAACATATTCAAAATCATGCCATGAGGCCAGTACCACCCTGTCACCAAAGCAGGATAAAAACAATGCAAGAACAAAAAAGTCTAGTTTGTCTGATACAAGTATTGCTACTCTGACTTTCTTTTGACATCCATTTGCGTGATAAATGTTTCTCCACCCCTTCACTTTCAATCTGCAGGTGTCTTTAGGTCTAAAATGAGTCTCTTGTAGGCTGGGATTTTAAATTTAGTCATCCTGTAAATGTATATGTTAGATTTTATTGGGTATACATGGAAGAATATTAAATCTGGAGGCTTTATTAATATATAAAATATTTTAGGAAAGTAAGTCAACTAATAACTTTTTGCTTGTATTTTGTTCACCAGGGGTTTGCGGATCTCTATATTATAATAACTATTCCTTTAGGGTTGATGTACTTGTGAAAACCGTACAATTAATTTATTAAAGGGAATAAATTTTAAAGTTGAGTTATAAATTTTGTTAACCTAATGACTTTTTAAAATTTAGTCTTTCTTACGCCATTTACGTTTTCTTTTTATAGAATTTGAGTAATTTTCCCATCTTCTGTACTTTAATAGGGCCTGAATATAGTGGTAGTCAGTAAATATTTGAAGGATTTGACATTACATGTGAATTCCTTCATGGTAATATTTTTGAAAACATTTTTCTATATTAATAAGGAAACACTATGCATATTGTTTTTGTAATTTTCCTTCATGCTATTTTTTTGATGGAGTATTTTTATTTCTTTTTAAATAGCTAACCCACTCTTAGAAGCCTTTGGAAATGCAAAGACTGTTCGCAACAATAACAGCAGTAGATTTGGAAAATTTGTAGAAATACATTTCAATGAAAAGGTAAGTGAGAGTGAGTTTTGGGATAATATGTTTGGGAAGTGTTTGTGGAAAACACAAGGATTTTAGGGCGCCTAGATGGGTTAGTTGGTTAAGTGTCCGACTCTTGATCTCAGTTCAGGTCTGGATCTCAAGAGTCGTGAGTTCAAGCCCCACATTGGGCTCCACGCTGGGCATGGAGTCTACTTTAAAAAAAAACGAAAAAGAAAAACACAAGGGTCTTGATAGAATTGGTGCTGTACTTGAACTCATTGTAAATCCATTTGAGTTTCTCTGTTTCTTTAGCTAATTAGGAGAATATATATATTCAGTATAACCTTCATAAATATTGTAAGCTTACATTTATTTAGTTATCTTTTTTCTTTACTTGATAACCATTATGACCTCTTTGATATAGATAAATGTTTATTAGAAAAATAATTCAACATTGGTAGGTTGTACTTTCAGACCTTAAAAGCAAAAATGTATTTTCTCTCTGTTTTGTTTTTCAGAGTTCAGTTGTTGGAGGATTTGTTTCACATTATCTTCTAGAGAAATCTAGAATCTGTGTTCAAGGCAAAGAGGAAAGGAATTATCATATCTTTTATAGGTTGTGTGCTGGTGCTTCTGAAGATATTAGAGAAAAACTTCATTTGAGCTCCCCAGATAATTTTCGGGTAGGTTGGATGAGAAGAAATTACATACAGTTTTTGCAAATTGAATTGTCTTTAATTCTAAAACTTATTTTAGTGGATTCTGATATCTAGTTGTAGGTAACTTACATTAAATCCAGTGTAATGTGATAGAATATAGGTCTCTATTGAGATTTACTGCTGAATTTATAATATAACACTATATGAGGAGATATGTAATCAGAAAGATAAAAGGATAGATAGGAAACCACTTATCAATTTAAACTCAATAAGAAATCTATAATAGTTCTGAAATGCTAGCTTTAAAATTATTTTTGACTTATTTGTTAAAAAAAAAAGAGATTTCACCACTGAATTAATGAAAGACACATGATTGTCTTCCTTAATTCAACAGTAAATATTTATTGCTTGCCCTTTTGGTACCAGGCATTGTACCTAGGTGAAAAAGGTGAGCAGTTCCTGCTCATGAGCATCTTAGAATATGGTGGGAAACACACACACACAGCCTGACTGATAGGTTGAAAGATTAAGAAATGCATAGATATGCATAGGATACTGGGGATTTTGGAAAAACTTCAAGGAACAGCTGATGTTTGATCAGAATCCTGAAGGATTTTCAAGTGTTAACCAGAGAAAGAAAGATGCAAAGAATATTCCTAGTAGATGCAAAAAGATGAACAAAGAAAAGCAAGAAACAGCTTAAAGAGTAAGTCTATGCTTACCTCTGGCTTTAAAATGGAGGGTATCTTGAAGGGGGGTAGGGGAGGGAATGGATAGAAAGTGCAACTATGGGTAAATTGGTTGGAAACCTATGGCTATTGTTGAAGTAAGTTACTTAATGCCTGAATTTGGTTACATATTAGAAGGTAAAATTGATAGGACTTGGAGACTGAGAATGGTAGAGAGAAGGAGAAGTCTGGAATAATTTTCCAAATTTAAGTAGGGTAACAGGGTGGATGTAAATACCACACGAGGGCCAGATGGAAGATTTGTGGCATATAGGTTGAGTTTGGTTTTGGAACCTACGGAGCATCTTAGGGGAGAGGATTAGAAGATGGTTGGGTATACTAATCTGAAGATTATTGTTGGTGCTGTAGTGGTAGGTTTGGGAGATGTCAGTACTCTGGTTGTAGTTAAAACTATGACCGTGAGTAGATGAGATCATCCAGAGAGATTGTGCAATGTAGAAAAGCATGTGCCAGGATCCAGACTCTGGAGTTGAAGAATATGAGTGGTGAAGAGTTGCCCAAGAAAGCACAAGTGGAATTGTGTGATAAATACAAGGAAAATCAGGCGTGCCAAGAATCACAAGCCAATAGAGTTTCAAGAAGTGGTCAGACTGGGAATGGTTAGCATGATTTATAAATTTGCAGCTAGGAAACAGTGTCCCTGTGAGAAATATTTGGGAATTATGGGAATGGGTAAGGAATGCAGTTTGAATAAAGTTCTCCAGGTGATTCTGATAATCCTCTTTGGGCAGGAGTCCTCCACATGAGAATTGTGACACATTATATTTAATTATTGTTCTGTGTGTGTGTGTATGTACGTTTGCAATTCAGCTTTTATTACTTCAGTCAGTTTCTTTTAATATGTATTTGGAAAATTTAAAACTACAGTTTTTTAAAAAAATTTTTTAAAGATTTTATTTATTTATTTGAGAGAATGAGTGAGAGAGAGAGAGCACATGAGCAGGGGGAGAGGGAGAATCAGGCTCCCCACTGAGCAGGGAGCCCGATGTGGGGCTCAATCCCAGGACTCTGAGATCATGACCTGAGCTGAAGGCAGATGCTTAACCGACTGAGCCACCCAGATGCCCCTAAAACTGCTGTTTTAAAATGCTTTATAACTGTATCTATTTATATACTTCCACAATGTCCCACCTTCTCTAGAAGTCATCAAATTAATTGGAATTTGAAGTTAGTTGCCTACATTATCTTCGTGAAAGTAGATTTCTCTACAATGATTTTTAGAAAAGGAGTATGTTACTATGAATCGTATGAAATTTAATAATGATGATGTGACTTTGTTGGCTCTGAGTTAATGATAAAATAATGTGACTATTCTTGTCTTAATTTAGCATTTCTTTCTGTTTGGAGGCTTGGGAGCATATTTTTTGTGTGTCTCAGAATGTATAGCCTTTCCTGACACAATGGCAGGCATCCTAGGAAGGTACTGAAATTCTTTATTAGGTCACAGAGTTTCCTGCCTCTGTAGTATGAACTGCTGGGAGCTATGATTTCTTCTCTTACTAGAGTTCTTACAGTGGTTAGGAGGAGACTAGAGGAACCATATTATCTTTCACCCAGATATATCTGCTGTCTTCTTTATTCCTCTCATGCATGCATATGCATACCGCTATGTCCCTTCCCCTAAATGATTCTGCCTTCAAGTGACTTGAAAGTGTGTTGATAATTTCATCAGGTTTTTCTGTAGTTTAGTTTAGGCCTCCAGTTACAACTCATAGGTAAGGTCATAAAGACAAAAAATTCCAGAGTAGTGTTGAACACTTCCAAAAAAATTTTTTGTCACTATTCTGTCCAAAATGGTACATAAAGAATTGTAGGGATACATCTATTTCAAAACATTTGTATTAACTAGTCATGTGTTTTAGAAAATAAAAGGTTTAAAAGGTTGCATTATTCAAATACTCAAATATTTTTGCATATGTTTTATGAGCATTCGTTATAGTCATGCAAAGATCCTTGAATAGAAGTAAAGCTTCGGTAGAATGAGAATGGATAGCAAGAGAAGTTACAGTTTTCTAGTTACAGGAAAATTGGAAAAAACAAGTAGTAGGTTTTTTGTTTTTGCTTTTTTTAAATTTTTTTTTTTAAGATTTTATTTATTTATTTGATGGAGA